GTTGGGTATCCAAAGGAATCAGCTTTGTGCTTTTTAGAAACATCTCTATGTAATAAACAAAACCAGCTTTTGTCTTTCTTACATCTTGGTAGATTCTTGATGTTGAGGTTTCGTGGTAACAGGGAGTTTGTGTAATCGGCGAGAATAATATTATATAAATTCATTCGCCATGAATGAAAGTAAGTAAAGTCGGTGATCTTTTTGTTTTTCAGTTTCTCTGTATGATTGTTGAATTCTCAATCCCTTGGGGAATATTTTGTGAAGCAGATTTAGAGGAACAAAAGAAAGGAAAGTATGTTCTGATCCGTGATGGTGATGAGGAGGACAATGAGTTAGGAGGACTCTTCTCTAAGCCCCTTCCTTGCTTCGGTTTTGGAATTGGATGGTTATCGTGGGTGTCTCTCCTACTCACTCTTCTCTTTTTTGTCTTGTCTTGTTGAAAGCAGCAGTTTCAATTCCATTTGTTCTTTTAATGTTAGGTTTCTTGTTGGATTCGTCTTCCCGTTTGCGTGGTACTTTGCCACATTCCTATATCTCACTAGCTACTACCGTAGAGATCCACGTGAAAGATCTGGTCTTGCTGCCTCTGCTATTGCTGTGAGTATGTCTCTCTCTCTCTCTTTCTCTCAGATATGCACTTCCTTCTCCTCAAATCTCCTTCCTTTTATCTTCCAATGAAATGAAACGACAAACACACAAATCAGCTGTAATAAGAGGATTTACCATATATTTGCAGGCTTTGATATTCAGTGTTGCACTTGTGATCACCGTTCTTGTACTTGTTTTCTCGGGTCGCTAGAGTCTGATGATATTCTTTCTGGCTGTGGCCTGTGGGTTTTCAGAGGAAACAAACAAGCAAGTAAACGTGTTCTGTTTTGATGAAGAAGAGAAGGTCTACTGCTATTAGATTCAAAGTTTGGTTTGTTCTTGTACATACTTTGTCAACTTCTAAAAGGTAAAAAAATGTGATACCTAACTGTTTGGAAGAGATCTATATAGCTTCAGGCTTGTATGTTATTTTATTCACATTAGAGTCGTGAGCTAGACAAGAACCCGAACCGAGGTTATGTCTGATTATTATCTTCCGTGTTCAAAGTTTCTTTTATCTAAATGTTATACACATAAATTGTGGTCTAAATGAGTATAACTTAATGGCTGCACTATTCTTTCGGTTTATGGTAAGAAATACGAATATCTATCTTATTAAAACAGAAACATTAGGTTGGACCTAATATTTATTTTGTAAGTTTTTAAATTAAATATATATTTCTAATTTGTATTTAAACATATATTAAATTACAAATATTCTTTTTTTTTTAAATTATTATCCATATTTCCAAACAATGTATTTATTATTTGATATTACTATCTATGTTTACAAACAATATACTCATTTCTTTATACTACTATCTATGTTTCCAAACAACACTATCATGAATCTTATGTACAATACAAAATATTAGATCTCACTTTTTAATATTTTTCATAATTTTCTTTCAAATTATTTAGATAAATTAAAGAAAAAATAATATATAAAATAATGAAAATAAACTTAGTTTTATATGTTTCAATATTACATATCAGTTATTCATCAGTTTAGTCGGATAGTATCCATCAGTTTTAGTGATTATTTAAATATGGAGATTTTAAATAATGAAATTGAAATATCGGATCACAGCGGTTTAACCGTGATCTGGATTAAATTTAAAAATACTAATTAAATGAAAAAATATTTTAAATACAGAAATTCTTTCAAATTATTAACATATTTGTTCAGTTACTTATGAAAATTTTCATCATATAATATACGTGCTCGCAAAGTTAAGTTTGAATTTGACCTAACCTACTTTGGATAATTATTAACATCAGAACTAATTAAACTTTCAACTTATTTGCAAATAGTTAATTTTGAATCTGATTTTGCACTTCGAACAAACGTACTAAATTAGTGTTTCACTGCACGATTATATCTACATAATACACTGTTTGACGCTATTAATAGAAAAGACAATTTTGATATTGTTCTTTAAACATAAAATCGAATTGAACAAACTCAAAACTAAATAAAACTAAATTATATAAAATATATCCAAAAAAAAAATCCACACATCCCCGCGGATCATGATCTGATTTATTTTTAAATCTAGAAAAAGTGGGAAAATGATTGCTCTATTGGATAAACGATACACACAAATCCAAGAATGCTAGCATTTTTGGATTTGTAAACTCTTTAATAAAAAAACAAGCTTTAACATCTATCTTATAAAAATAGAAACATTACATGAAAATAACATGTGTCTATGTGTAATTTACAAAATATGCTAATACACTTTTTTATTTTGTAGAATACAATTATGAACAATGATATTAAATCTAATTATATACACTCTTAGTTTTCAATTTATTTACAATATCATGCCATTGCTATTTTAATTTTTCATTAATAATTAAAATTAGCATATGGGTATATATGTAATTTCTTAACCGAACACATAAACAGATTTTCTTGCAATATTTTATCCTTATTAATAGTTTAAAATAAAAAAAATAGATTCTAAAACTATACGGACTGTACTACATCCTAGTGACCTAACATATAGTCGGAATTTTGCTCAAAATATGTGGGTTTCCATCTATTTTGATCCGCTGTAAGGAAGGTGCGGGCCATGCGATTTGAAAATTTTGTGTTATGGGTACAGTTGAAGTTATTTTAAACGAGACGAGTGTAGGTCAGCCAAATTTGAGACGGATACTCACCAACTTACCAATTTTTTTTTTTAAAATAGTTATTTTTTTTGGAAAAATACATAAATTATTATAAATATTTGTAGAATTTTAATCATAAATATATTATTTTAACATTACTTGTTACAAAAATATAGTAAAATATAAAATAATTATTTTAATATAACTAATATTACCCGCAGATTATCCGTGTGGGTTTGACATGTCGGTGCAAATATAAGATTTTTCGATTACAGATTATGAGAATCGGATTTTTGAATTAAAAATAATTCAATCTGCGGCGAGACAGATTGACAGGTAAATCCAACACTACCTAAACAATATGCATTCTAATTCCTATTAAAATATATTGAACAAAATTAAACCTATAAAATAAAAATGGATCACCCCTAAACGTAAACATTTAGTGTATAAGGAAACCTCAAAATACAAACCCTAAATTCTGTTTTATGTGTATAAATATATACTATTGTTTGTACTACATTTTACAACTCTCTTGCTAACTAAAGATAACTTACAGACCTTTATATAAAATTTGTTTATAAACTTTGTTTGGTATTGCTTAACTACAATTTACTAATACATGGTGCAACTGGATTGCAAATTTTTGGAATAAAATTGTTTGGAATGACTTATTCATGTAGATTTCAAATTACTTTTACCATTTGAATGGAATAAAAAATTTCTCATTCCAATAATTATTTTTGGAATGTATGGAAAAACATTCATGATAAAAAAATATACATGCATTAACGGAATGAGTGGAATTAACTAGTTTCTATTCCATTTTGACAATCATTCTATTTTCTCTATTTTAAAATTTTCAATTTCTTTTATTCCGTACATTCCATTTAAAAATAATCAGTTACAGCCATACTGACATAAATACATGAAATGGACTAAAAATCAAATACTCTATTTTTTTAGAATAAATAATGGCGTTGGATTTATGTTACATAATAATTTATAAGGATTCTCATAAATATAAATGAATCAAAGGCGAATGGGAAATATGAATATCTAAAATAATATTTATATATCTAAAAATAATATTTATATTTACTTTTAAAATAGTCAAATTCTAAAAATGTTGTTTCTAAACCAAACTACCCAAAAATGAACTATCTGAATATTTTATACCTGAATTATTTAAAATTGGTTAAAAATCAAATTATCTAAAATATTTAAATTTATCTGACTTACCTGATATTTGATAACAGAACAAACAAAATAAAAACAAAACTATTTTTTTACCAAATTATCTGGAAAACCTAAACCGAACCACTGGAATCGAATTTTTTTTGGATATTAGTTGATTTCTAACCATGTTAACTTAACCAAAACTAAAACAACTGAACTGGAACAAACAAATTTCATAAATAACTGGATGGTGTGAAAACAAAAACCAAAAAAAAAAAAAATTCAGAACAAAAAAAAGTATTAGCTAGTTGAAAATGGTGAAAGACTAGAAATGGTAGGAGCTAGATATGAGTTAGAGACAATTGGCCCAACTAAAAAAGGCTCAATAAGTAAAATCAAACATTATTTCGTATGCAGGACCATACCCTCTCCTCGTATAAAATAGCGATTTGTTCGTAATTGCGACGAAAAAGGAGGATCAATTATCAATCAAATCTATCCGTTAAGTATAAATTAATTAATTCTCCTGAGATTAGTTGTTGACTTGTTTTTATCTCTGCAACTCCGCCGATAAACCTCACCTCTGTCTGTAAACCCTAATTCACTACGTTCACTATCTCCTCTAATGATTGTCTAATTTCTCTTTCAGTTTATTTAGGTAAAACGTTATCTTCGCATACTTCCCTCTGCAGATTCTGATATTTTTCTTTACTCACCTGAGAAATTCTGTCAATTTTTTTGAGGATTTGGTCATTAGGGTTTGTTATTTATGGTGCATTTTTCTATTACAACTTCGTATCTAATAGAGATTTATGTTATTGATTAGTTATGTAAATGCTTGGTTAGGGGTTAGATATTATTGTAGATCAAGGTACGAACTTAACAGTCACATTACATTCAGAAACATAAGCAGATTTAGATAGCATTTAAAAATTGATGTTGTTAAGAATGACAATTGTTGGCCAATCATCATCCTATGGTATCTGAAAAATATGACATCAACTTATTTGATCATGCACAGTTATCTTTAGCGTTTTATTAAGTAGTTGGTTTTGTCCACTTATTAGTTTATGTCTTTTAGTTTTTCAATTTGCAGTTTTGAACAGGTTAAGGGAATGAATAGCCATCCTTCATCATCTAATGGTTATCCACATAGAAGAGTTGATAAAGAGGCAGGGATGCCGATGAAGTCACAGACCGTGAAAAATGCAGATTTTGTTATATATACATCTATTATCTATATTCTGATCTAGCATCATCATCACGTCCTGTGTTCTCTTGTTTGTTGACACATGTGTGCAGAAAATGGTGGAAAGATGGACTGTGGATACCCCTTCTCGTGATTCGTTTGTGTACCTCACTACTTGTAAGATCGGACATCACGTCGAAGTTCATCTAAAAATGGGTCTGTTTACAATAGCAAATTTCATGCTGTTGATGTGGAGAATAATTTTGGTGAGAAAACCTTTTTGTTCGTCTGATATGTGAGATATATAACAAGAGATTTCTCTTACAAAACTGCTTTGTAACTTTCATGAATTATTTTGAAAATGGCATACTTGATAAGGGAAGGTGGTTTACGAGGGATGAAACTACGTGCTCATCGTGTCAGCAAGCCACCTTCAAAGATATTCATCATCCCTACCGACGAAATTGTGCAGGTTATAGCTAAGGTGTGTACTCTTTTCTTGTAGATGGGGTTGAGTTCTTAATGCTCTTGTCAATGTGTTTGCATGTTGGAAAGACTACCCTGTGTTTTTACAATATTAATTCTTTGTCATTGGTTTTGGTGTTAGGACCTTCCTATCTACAGCAATAAGGTCTCAAATTCGGCTCAGTGCGAGACACCGTTAGAGCTGTTGACAGACTCTTCTATCTCCCAGTCTTATCATGTTGATATGGAAAGAGAGCTGAAATGTTGGGTACCTGATGAAGATGTTCCAGATTGTCCAGATATGTAGAATGTGTTTGATGACCCTTGGAAGAGGTGCTGATTCATGTTTTTCTTTTTATATTACTGATTTAAAATCTTGGACTTATCCAATCTAGAATGTTTTAGAGGTTTAAGGTGTTATTCAATCTATGTTCTTAATGCTTTGGATTTTTCCTCTAATAAAGAGATGTGTTGGTGTTACTTCTCTCGGTTCATTTTCTCCCCTTGGTCCAAAGCGGGTTCAACCGCCTTGTAATTGGACATTGTATTATGCGGGTTTTGGTGGGTCTGCCCGCTCTGTAATTTTATATAAAAATTCATGCAACTCTTTTAACGAATTGAGACCTTCATCCTGCAGTGGGATAACCCTCAAGGATCCCAGCACTAGTTGACACTGTTACTTGATTGCCTACTAGTTTCTTGTTCTTTCACTATGTACACTACCATTCTTATATGTGATTCATTCATAGGAGTTGGAATCAGTTTGAGGTCAATGAGACATTGTTTGGAGTTATGAGCACTTTTGACGAGAAATTGTGCACCACAAAACTCGAGAGAGGTCCTTGTATGAAGGAGCTAAAAGAGCAAGCCTTGAGGATTGAAAGAGAGATCGAGGGTGAGAATACCCGAGATCTTCACGTAGCAGGGGTGAATTAGGGATGTCTTTTTGCCATATAGGATTATATATATACGTTAAAAGTAATTGTAAATAATCAAAAAAAATCTTCATAATCAATTTTAACTTAAATACACAATTAGTGATATGTTAACTGGTTATTTTGAATTCTTTTTATATTTTTGGTTAGAGTTATTTCTTTATTTATATTTTTATTTATTAGTGTCATAGTTATTAAAAATATTCTTTTCAATATCTAAAGTTTTTCAATATTTTTGAAAAATGTTGATTTATATTTGTGCCAAAAAAATCATCAACTTTAAAAGTTATTTTAGACCTACCATTAGTCAACTATAATTGTTGACTAACGATATAACTAAAATGATATGGTCAACAAAAGATTGTGATTAAAATAACTTATCAACAAAAGTTGAATGTTTTTTTAGCTTACGGAAAAAATTGTGTTTTTTTCAACTAAATTTGAAAGTTAATGATTTTAAATGTTATTTTTCTGATGAGATTTTGCTGACATCTTTGAATTTATCTGCAGGAGATGCCATATAAAGGAAGGGACTCTTATTAGCTTTTGACCAAAACCAAGAATGAATGGTAGCACAAGGTTTCGAATAATCTTCTGATGGAATGGGGTTTTGGTTGATTCAATATTAAATTTATTTCTATATTGAAGCTTTAATTTTTTTTAATATGATAAATGGTTTGATGGTCCATCTGAGAAAAATTGAACACATGTGATATTGATATATAGTTTGTTTAGGGCTAGATTTTGATTTAGATTCGGTCTGATCTCTCTTCTTTATTCACTCGCGTCTCTACTTAAACTTTAAATCTATCAATGTGTATGACTTTCAATGTTCTTGTCTTTTATATAATAAAAAGAAAATATTACACCCAGAGGCAGTTTAATGTTTTTATTCACACAATAAGGCAGTTGTCACTACTAACACACTTTCTTCTAACAATTTCCCTTTTGACCAAAGACTCTCGTTGAATGGTGACTAACTCGTTCACAAATCAAACCACAATATTAAAGGGAATCAACCTACATTATTTATCTTTCTTTTTTTCAACGGCCCATATAAAATCTGATTTTTCTGACAAAACCTATATCTACCTCTTTATGTAGCCATTAGATCTCCTTTTTTTTATTTTTGTTACCTACGGCCCAGATTCCATTAATTTCATAAAATTAACTCTGCTTCATCTTCTTCGTTTTGAACATTAACCATAGTTTGGTTGTGTGTTTTTTGTAAATTAAATCGATGGTTACAACTTCATCGTCCTATCTAAAAAAATGCTTTTGCCGCAAGATTACCACCTATGTCTACATCTCGTCTTTGCCTCCTTTTTGTCGCCGCCTTCGTCGCATCCTTCTCGTTATCGCGTTCGTCGTCTCTTTCTCATCGTTGCCTTCGTCGTCTCCTTCTTGTCCTCCTCATCACCTATGTCTCGCCTCTTTCCTCTCCTCCATCTTGCCGCCTTCTTTCGTTACAAAAACTTGATGAGCAACAATGGCCATTTTTGGTTTTATTGCACATCTGGTCCCTAGACATTTAATATATTCATTTCTAATCCATAGATTTTTGATTTGCAAATATACCCTTATAAATTGATTAATTCTACACACCATACTTTTCATAATTACAAAACGGATCTTCGAATGGATGTTTTCATTATGATAATTAAATTCAGTTATCTTTTTACACTTTAATCATGAAAATTAAATTATGTTATCTTTAATTCTGTTAACTAAATTCAATTATCTTTTTACATTTGTTCAATCAATCCATACACATTTTTTGTTTTGTTTTATCTTTATAGGAAGAATTCATGAGGGTGGACAATATGTAAGGAAGAAAGACTGAACGTTTTTTTTGTACATGCGGATATGTAAACCGATGTACAACCAGGTCGCACACACCCTTTTGTAAATATGGATATGTAAAAATGATGTACACTACAATATCACACTATCTAATTGGATAATTTTGCTAGTTTCAAAATGTGTACAACCATATAATGTCCTTGTGTACACACAAATTTTACTATCATGTACAATGATTCATTTCTACAAATTGACCACGTATATACCAATGCATAACCACCCATATGTAAGACTAATTTTTTGTTTTTGATCAAGAATAGCAAACGACATGTGTGTACACTCTATGACGTGTACATGTGTAGAAACTTGAGCAAATTAGAAACTTAAGACAAATGGGCACGTCATTTTGTGTACACTTTGTAATGTGTACACGTGTACATCGACAATGTACCAATATATGTAAAGAAATTGTACACATATAGGTGGATTGGTGGTTTTTTACTATCATGTACAATGATTCATTTCTACAATATTGACCACGTATATACCAATGCATAACCACCCATATGTAAGACTATTTTTTTGTTTTTGAGCAAGAATAGCAAACGACATGTGTGTACACTTTATGACGTGTACACGTGTAGAAATTTGAGTAAATTAGAAACTTAAGACAAATGGACACATTATTTTGTGTACACTTTGTAATGTGTACACGTGTACATTGACAATGTACCAATATATGTAAAGAAGTTGTACACATATAGGTGGATTGGTGGTTACTTACAAAATTACATAATAAATAGATCTAGTCTAACAGGAAATGGTGTACATGACAATAGCTTTATACATGATTTTGTATTTTATTCATATCTAATGATTTTTAGGTTTGCTTTTAGTTCATTTAATTTATTTTCCAATGCATTTAAGAATTAATTATGTGCATATATTGCCCAATTTCATTAACAGAGAATTGTAGTACCTAACTGGTTAATTTTGAACTTAATCAGAGGCAATTGATTTTCTACATGACAATAGATGTACACATGATTTTATGTGTTATGCATACTCTAATGATTTTTAGCTTTGATTTAAATTCATTCAATTTATTTTTCAAGGCATTTAATTATGTGTATATAATTCTCAATTTCATTAACATGATATTGTAATAGATAATTGGTTTATTTGAAATAAATCGAAGAAACATTTAAAAATGCTAAGGATCAAAATTACACAACTAATAAGTTTTGGTTTAAAAAAAAAATATATAAAATATTAAGGACCAAAAGTGTAAAAAATCTGAAAGTAGCCATTGATGGTCATCGCAAATCACCGTTCCGAGAGACTTTTTTTTAACATCCTCCACCTCCGCTATCTCTGAAAAGAGGAACACCATTAAAAAACAATTAGATTTCTGTTCCCAATCCAAACTACAAATAAAAAAACACCTTTTTTCTGTCCAGATCCATAGATGAAACCGTTTAGACCAAAACTCTCTGTCGACTGCCTCTCTCCCACAATGACTCCGTTGTCTCGTCATCCAGAAATAATCTTCGGTAAATCGGTTTATTACGCCGGAATTCTCTCCCTCTCAATCTGTGAAAAGAAATTTCTCTCTTTTGATAATAATGTGTAACTAAGAAAAGTTGTGGCTTTTCATCGTGAACGAAACCCAAACTCCTTCAATTATTAACTCTAGTTAAAGATAATTCTGACCTTAATTATGCAATTTATTATAATAATTTCCAATTTCAAAATTTAAAATTTCTAATCAGAAAATTAACCTGACTAAAGCCTAAACGTTAGTGATACAAAATTGGAGGACAAAATGGGTCATTTCACACAAAAACTGCCCCAAGAGCAACAACTGCCTCTGAGTGTTATTAAAACACGTAAACTGCCTCTGAGTGAAAATAACTCTATAAAAATGAGGTAGGCAACCATGTTTTTCCTTTATATATGTAATACCGTTTTTCAAATCAACGATTGTAGTTCAATCTTGCATATACGTGTTAAGAGTCTGGATGTACAATAAAGTAGTGAGTGTCTATGATTGGGCTTTGAAAGCGTAATGTTCAAATTTGGAATTATTAGGATAATGGGTTTAGTCTCCTTTTGGTTTTGTATTAGATGCTTCGTGTTTTCGTTCAAATCATTATAAATAAATCTCTCGTAAAGAATCCAGAGGTTAGGGGAGATTTGGCATTTAACTTTTTCGTTTTTAGTGGTTGAAAGCATGTCTAAAATCAAAATAATTGAGTCTAAGAACTTCTCGATTCCCTCGATCTTGATAATATAATGTTTTTTATTAACACCTGTCACCTCTTTTGGAAGCATGATAGTTACCCTTTCTTTTCTCTTGTGTTTTTTTTTTATAACAAAAAGTTTATACATTATTAAAATCTCACATTACAATACCAAGTTTCAAACGGAAGCATCTCTCAATAATTAGTTCGACTTTTAGTTATTTTTTTCATCCCAAAGTAGATATCTTCCAATATTAATTTTTGCTCTTTTTAAAGGTTTTTTCTTTAGTAGTAGTTGTAATTACTATTCAGAATTGTGGTGGGTTAAATGAATAGAGAGAGGGAGATGGGAGCAGAAACTACCAAATTAAGATTCGTTGCTTTGTGTTGGAGAAGCCAAATGTGGAAAGAAAACTGTAAAAGGACTCTTTGCTTTGCTTGACTTGCAATAAATTTCAATTACCGCAACCACAATATTACAATATTTAAAATTATTTGCTTAAATGCGATATTGATTGCACCATAAAGAGATGTTGACATAACCTTCCACTTATATTTTTGCTTTTTAAAAAAAACTAAGGAAAACATAATATAAAAGTATGTATTTCCTGTCTGTTTAAAAAATTGATGTTTAAAATATTATGTTTGTTATAAAATTTGATATTTATAATTTTAATAATGTATTTTACTTTAAAATTACAAATAAATCTAAAATTAAAAAGTAGTTGAATATTTATCAAAAATAGAAGACAAAAGTAACAATAATAGTATATATTTATCATTTTAATATTTGTATAAAGTCTTACAATTAATCTTTCAAAATTCAGAAGAAAATTAAGTGTATAAAATGGTAAAAAAACATAAAAAGATAAAAAAGAGTCAGGGTTAGTCTTTTAAGCCATAGCCAATACTACACTTATTTGCAGAGACAGAGAAAGAAAGAGAGAGAGAGAGAGAAGAAACAGCCATGTTTTGAGGAAGGAGACATGCATCAACATCATCTGAAGCTTATTACATAACTTCTCATTTCTCTTCATCTGATACCAAATCCAAACACCATCTGTTTGCTTGGATCAGTAAGTTTAATATAGATTTGATTTCTACTCCAGTGACAAAAAAAAAAAAAAGATTTGATTTCTACTCGGTTAGCTTGAGGAATGAGCTCATTCTTCTATTCACACCCTATAAGATTTGAGTTAATCTCACTTCATCCTCTTTGAAAGATTTTTCTTTTCTTCTATACATATTTATATATCTATTGGTTTGCATGTTGTGCTTTCTATCAGTGAATCAATCTGCTTAACCAAGATTGTTTTTCTTTCTCTTTTCAAAAAGTTTGAATCTTTTCAAATAATTGAGCAATTTACTGTGTAATTCAGCAATTGAATCTGGATTTTTTGGTAGATTTTATAAACTTTGTGGATTCATTTCTCTCTTAGATTTGCTGATTTTGTGAAACATGATTTTTGCTTGGATTTGGACATTAGCTTATTAAGAAGAAGACAATGCAAGTGTTCCAAAGGAAAGACACATCTCGCTCTACTTGGGAAAACTCAATCCAAGCTCATTCAGACATTCAAGGATCTCAACCCTTTAGCTTAACAAAGAACCTGATGATGCCCTGCTCGATGAAGCACTCAGGTTTGCAGTTGCAAGATCAAGATTCATCCTCAACCCAATCTACTGGAGAATCAGGAGGTGGTTATGAAGTTGCCAAACTTTGGCATTGATCTGAAGATTTTAGTCACATTACAAAAAAAAAACGCTAAAAGTCTTTGCTTGATGCAGGTTACATCCTAAGCCCACCAGGAAAGGCTATTGCAAGTTATAATAAGTCAAGAACCACCTCGTCGATGGTGTCTCAAGATTCTGTGTTTCCTCCTCCTCCTCCTGCTTCTGGTTGGTCTCAAACATCACATTTCAATGGTTTCTTGGCTCCTGAATATGCACCGCAACCAACGGTAATAAATTGTCATGCTTTTGACAGTTTTGAATCAAATAGGCCTTGTTGGTTTGGTTATATAAGGAAAGAACTATTTGTAGGTGCCGTCGCATTTAGAGATGATGGGTTTGGTTTCTTCAAGAGTGCCATTACCTTATAACATTCAAGAGAATGAACCAATGTTCGTCAATGCAAAACAGTACCATGCGATTCTTCGTCGCAGGAAGCATCGTGCTAAGCTTGAAGCTCAGAACAAACTCATCAAAAGCCGTAAAGTATGAATCTCTTTTCACTTTCCCATTTACTTAACACACCCACAAGATCTTTAAAAATTCTTTTTTTTCTGCAGCCGTATCTTCATGAGTCACGCCATCTTCATGCATTGAAGAGAGCTAGAGGCTCCGGTGGGCGTTTCCTCAATACTAAGAAACTTCAAGAATCATCAAACTCTATGTTCTAGTTTGGTCACACCGAGCTCTGATGCAGACCGTGACAATATGTTCCAAACCGCACCGTTCAGATTCTCAGGGTATCCATCATCAATACACCATGTCTCAGCTCTCATGTCAGGGAAATGAGTCATCTGAGAAGAATCTTGCTCCGGGATAAAAAAAAGGGGAAGTCATCCTTGGCTATAAAATGTTATTGCGTCTTTACTAAGTTTCCTGCCTTTTTAAAGTTCTGTTTTCATCATCTGCACTGAAGTTAACTTTCAAATCATTGTGCAAGCTATTTTGTTAATTACAAATATCATTACCTTATCAAATACACAAATGAGAAAAGAATCAAAAGATTAACATTCATCAAAAGTAATATGCATTATTTTTTTTATCAAAAGGTAATATACATTTAAATGGCCCCTAAATAACAAGATGCTCGCTCTCTCGACGGAGATTTGATCAACCTCTACATCTGCACTCTTCCATTCCCTCTAATTGTTCTTAGGGCCCACCGGCATCTGTCCGGTGGTTCTCTCTCAAATACATAAGTCTACAAAAAAATCAATAATGTGTTTAGGAAAGAAATATCAAAAGAAAAACATGAATTTGTGTTTATATACCATTTATTCATTCATCTATCTTTGTGTAATTTTTAAAGAATATACTGAATTTTTTTCCAGCATTTTTTACTCAGTCTTTGTCAAACCTAACACTTATTGTTAGTTTTGTATTCGTTTCCAGAGGTTATCATCAGAATGTGTTGGCTATTCAATGTTCAAAACAAATCTTATTGGATTGGCTATGGAAACAACGTCTATTCAATGTTCAAAACAAATCTAATTGATGCCACTTACAATAATTTATTGATGACTACTATCCTTTGTAGAATAATTGACAAAAAAACGGTCAAAAATCTTAAAAATTTTAAATCAAAATTTTGTTTAATTCTAAATTTGAAATATTTATAAATTTTAAAACTACTAATAAATTTTATGAAAAAAAATTTTATATAATTTATTTTGGTTGCTAATGATTATTAATTTGATTATCTTCTTTAGGAGTTTATTTTATATTTATGCATAAATATCTTCTTTATCATCTTACAACAAACTTAGGGTCGTGACTGCGCTACGCACAAATAATATAGTTAAAATTTATTAATTTTGTATCTGTAATTAACATGTGATGTTTTTTTATTTGTATTTATTTTTAAAAGCTATTTAGTAATTGTATTTTTAACAGGTTTAACTGAATATTTGTATAATATTTTATTTTTTCTGAAATTAATAATATGACTTGAGTGTGTATGTCAAACCAATATTGCATAACCATACATTTTGAGAGACGTGAACCTAATCAATCGGTTGAATAAACCAAATAAAAATGTGTTTATATGTTTCTTTGTATTTGTTTTGAAGACAAAAACAATAAAAAGAAAGCTTAATGAAAACTAAAAAGATGTTAAAATTTAACATATGTTTTACATAAACCAAGATACCATATATATATTTAGATGATAACTAAGATTTATTTATTTTTATTCAGTTTACTCATCATCATGTTATATATTCTTCAATAATAAAAGTACAACAAATTTAAAAATTACATAATGTGAGCTTCAATGGTTTCTACCACGTAAAAACGCACCTGAAAGATATCTCCAACCATGACACAAAATTGACCGTTAAAAGTATAACAAATTTGATATTTTTGTATCTTAATTTTTGTCGTCTTTAACGATGATATAATTTTTTTTTTCACAGAAAGTAATATTATATAGTATTTGATGTTTTTAGTTTTAAAATTTTATATTTTTATTATATTTATAATTGATAATGAAGTCATTTAGTGGTTTCTTTTGAAAATAAAAATAAAAGATTTATTTTTTAATTATGTAAAATAATAAATTTAAAATACATATAATACTATATTGCCCCTATACATTGGTACATTCTTACATAGTGACTTCAAGAGATAAAGTACTCCTCTTGGGTTTAAAACTTCAATCCATTTGCCAGCAATCAAATAAAGTAACAGACTCTCAGGAAAATCGCGTAAATTATCTAGAGCTAGATGCCTGATGTTTTGTAACAAATACCTATGCAAATTTTATATATGCGTCACTGTGATCGCCTTTCTTCCAGCAGCACCCCCAACATAAAAGATCTGATGGAACAGAAGTTAGTATACACCAAACTAAAGTGCTTGGGAGAATGCAAATGGATAGAGAAAACTAACTTATCCATTTTAATTTCAATTCCAGAGTTAAAGTGCTTCTTCATGAGTTGCCACATCCCATGCTTAGGTTTGCGGTAAAGGCCTTATTTACCACCAGAACTTGCGACCCCACATGCTACAAACACCTGTTTCCAGAATGAAACCATTGATAAATTTCAGAAATCAACATGTCAGGGAATTGACACTTCCAGATCTTTGAAAAGTCCAAATGTTAGCCATTAAGAACTTGCCAAATCATGAACAGAACCAACATGCAGTAACTTGTTTGCATCCTAATTTCTTTTAATTCATCACTCAAACTTTAAATATAACTTGTTGAAACAATGTTCTTGAGAGTATTAAATAACGTTGTTAATTATGAGAAACTAAAAATGCACTTCACCTGAATGGGGACCTCTACGCGCTTGATAAAACTATTAAGGCGTCCAATTTTCGAATCCACAGCAGCTTGTCTTTTTTTCTTCCACCGATCGATGTTGGACTCATTCGTGGAAATTACCTGATGAACATTTAAATTAGCATCTCTACACAAACAAACTGAGACAACTGAGTTACATGGCTTAGATGGAGTTCAAAATGAAAATAAATTACCAGCTTATAGCTTTGACTATGAAGACTTTGTAGTTTTTCAGGAATAGAAGGATACATAAGGGACCATGCATCTGCACCTACTCGGAAAAATAAGAAACAGAAAACAGTATGATCCATTAAGACGTTCATGAATAACACAATTATATTTGCTTCCCAAATTTACTAAATGTGCACTGTGGCAAGTACAAAAAGCATTGTGTGATTGCCTTTCTAGGAAAACTTAATCAGTGAAGCAGACAAACTACAGGTCCAACAATCCTAAAGAAGCACTGGAAGAGGTTTGAAAAAATCATTGTGTGATTGCCTTACATTTTCATAGATGTTTTTGCAAGGCATCCATCAAAATCAAATGCAGCTATCTTCTCTGAATCATTAAGACCATCATCTTGTAATCATGTTACGATGCAGCAAAGGAATTACTCGTTAGGACATAATACATTACATTATATTCGAAAAGCCAATTCATATCTGAAGATGATCTCTGACCCGCTCAAGGAATATTACTGTCTCAAACGCTTTCCACTTCAGCGGTAGACTGGCATCCTGAAAAACATGGGTATTTAGCAGTCAGAGAAATAATGATTGGAAAAAAATACATATGCCAACGCTCAAACTTCCAAGAAATAAGATAAAGTTTACCTAGTAGACACTAAGAGTGCCTACCATGTACTTGTCCTTCACATCAGATGCTGAAAGAGAGATTTCTGCTTCAGCTACGACCTGAGAAGTTGACACACTGACGTTCATCTGCATAACACAATTTATAAAATCAGCTAGGAGATTCTCAACATAAGGAAGTGACTGGCAACCATTAGTAGGTATTGAAATCAAATCATTGTTTGTATACCTTAAGTTTTCTAGTAGTCGGTTGGATAGTATTGGTTTGCAATTTATCTTCTCCAACCTTCATAAGAAACAATATATTACAGAACAACGAAAAAATTTCAACTTTTAAAAATTTGTATTAAAAGACGTGATGGCTAATAACCTGAGAATGATTTCTTTTGTTAGTTTCCTCTGTTAGCTGGTTATCAGTTCCAGATTCATCATTATCTTCGTCCATCTTCTGCAATTCTGCCAGAAATTGAGGTAAGAAGTTAGTTTGGAAAATCCTAAAATAGTAAATGTTTGTAAGAAGAAAACGAATATTATAAAAAAGTGGTTTGCTGGTAAACCTACCGAGGCCTTGTTCTCACATTGTTGGACCAAGTCCTTTAACGCATCCTGAATAAAGCTAGTTTATATGTTTGGGTGACACTGACAATGATGCCATGCCATTGGTACATTCTAAGAGTCAAACATTGGTACATTTTAATTATTTATAGGGGCAATATACATGCACATGTTACAACTTTGCCTTATGCTTCCAATGCGTTGCCAAAGAATCAACTGCAAAAGAGAACTCTCTACATTTAATCCAATTTCAAAAGGTTTCTTCAGGGTTTCTTATGTGTATAATTCAGTCTTGTGATAATTTTTTAAGAACCTGCAGGTTCGCTTGGAGATTATCAAGGTTAGAAACATACCAGATGGATATAAAGGAAAGCTCTCGGTTGTGTTTAGCAAAACCCAGCCTGATTCTCTGTTCCATGCTGAGCAGATGCTGTTGTATAGGTTTTAGGATCAGTGGTCTCTTGACTTGTCAAGGAACTGGATCAAACTGGAGGAAACGTCAACAAAGGAGAACAAAGAAACAATGAAGTCGGGATGGTGACGGCAAGCTAGGGCTACACAGCAAGCGCAGATAAATACCATATGGACCGACCAAAAATACACTCTAACAAACAAAATAACAAATTAAGCCCAACGAATTACGAAAGTAAGCCCAATTTGTTGAATAAAAAAGCTGACGTGGCACAACCACAATTGAGTATATTCAACTTTTAATAGTGTTAGATTATGTTGTTTTTCATTATTTTATATATACTAGGTGATTTTCCCGTGCTCATGCACGGGTATGAATATTCATAAAAGTAAAATTTTATAAGAATTGATTGATATTTACTTTTACTTTTGAATCAATTTCTATGTATAATTTATATTAATAAATATTATATTATTCTAATTATACATATGACTTTGGATATGTTATTGTCGATTTAATTATTTTTTGTATCAATAGTCGGTTTGGTTATCAATTTGATATATTGGATAATATTTATTTTTCGAGTTCAGCTATAATGTTTTTTTCTAAATATAATAAAATTTTGTTAATTTTCTTATTTTCATTTCGGTTGGTTATTTTCTTAGATATGTAAATATATTCTTAGATATGTAAATATACTATGGTTTAATTATGTATAACTTAATATATATTCTGCTTAAAGTGAAATATATAATAAGCTAAAGTGTTTGATTCAAAATTACATAGATGAATATAATAATAATATTTTGAAGTCTCGGCATATATATAAATTCTACAAAAGAATTAAATTGTAATTGGTTAATATTTTACTTTTTATTTTTAATATGCTTTGAATCAACCTCTAGTTTATATGTATAAAATTAAATATATTATTATTATTATAATAAATTATATTTTCTTATTTTATTTGGATGTTTAATTTTGGATATAAATTAGATTAGTCGAGTCATTCATTTTGTGAGTATATTGAGTTAAATATATTTTTAAATTAAAATTGACGCATAATTACTTTTTATTTTAGTTGA